CAAAGAAACTTCAGCCTAGGGATTATTGACAAGTGAGGGAGACTGAGTTGGGCAGTCTCTCCTTTCTGTATCCCTGGACTATGCTGGTGTCAAAACAAATGAAAATAGATGATACTTTATTCAGAATACTACATCATGCAGTTGATGATTTCCCTTCCCATACTCTTTTCTGTGCTAAAACATTCTAAAGACAAGATAATCACGTGAAGCTTTTCAAGAAATACAACTTAAGAAGTTTTTTCTTTTCTTTCTCCTTTATGATTCTTCAAGGTATAACCATATTAGAAAAAAAAAAAAAAAGTTTCCCTAGAGTTTTATTGAGTACAAGGTTTTGTTTGTCTTTCCAGTGTGGTTATGCGTAGATGGGAACATATACATAGACCAAAATATAGCTTCACATGCAAACCTAAATGCAAACTGGTGTAAATGGGGAGACAAATCCAGCTGTAGTCACTTTATATGCAAATATAAATGCAGTACAAAAACTAAACAAGGCAACGTCCCGTCTGTGATAGAGAAATGATATCACTGCAATCAGAACCCATGGCAACAAAACAATAAAATAAGAGAATTATTTACTCTATAATTGTCTCCTTTTTCTCACTAAAGATCAGAGCATGCAGGGCTTCCTCTGAAACATCTAGGGATGCATTGAGTCCTATTTCTGAGATCAAACTGTAGAGGTTGAAGAACTGGAGAAAATGAAAAAAGAAACTGTTCTAGGAGGTATTTACTTTCCAAATGAACAGCTAGGAATATTTGAAGTAAAGCTTTTAGGGATATTTTTAGTGCCACGTTTCTGTCTGTCACTAAATGAATGTTTCAAATGGAGTGATTTTACTTCATAATTACAGTATCGAACAATTACAGTTCCTAAGCACCATAAAGACAGAACATCACGCTCTATTTGAAGGTAAACATGAATGAGGTTCTTGTTTTTGTTAACGAGGTAAGGAAACTGAGACTTCTCGAGCAAACTGAGATCTTTAACCAATGTAGGAAATGTGACTATTCTTCTTTTCACGGCTTCTCCACCCTTGGCTTTTAGTGCACCAAAAGGCAGAAGATGCATTCCATACTTCAGGCCCATAATGTGCTTCTAAGTCCCACATGTAATACGAAGGGTAGCTGTCATTCAGGGGTTAAGGTGTTACATGAGGTTACTGATGCAAAACTGCTCTCAGGTCATCCTAATGTGATGCTCATCTCATTTAAGCAGCAGACAATGCTGGAGAGATTCTCTCTTTTGAGCTTTTTGTTCAAACTTCATGTTTGGATTAAGACTGAAATGAGTCTGGGGAGGTTCTTGTGCCAGCCCTGTGATTCAGTGTATTGGTGTTCAAGTAGTTTTGTGCTCTGTAGTTCAAGCAAGGAATTTCCTGACAAAACAGAAAATGCTGAGTCTTCAAATCCAACCTTTGCAGAGGTGTCATTGAATTTCTCCATGTGGAAAAAATGGCACCCATTGGAATTCATCAACGCTTACTGAATGATTGTAGAGACCAAAGAGTGGATGTGAGCTCAGTGAGGGGTGGATGGTGCATTTCAGCAGTGGTGAGAGTGGGTCACCTCCACTGCTACAGATTGCTACAAGTGAGGAGACGCTACTTTCAGAATAACCTCTCTCTCTTTTTTTTTAATATATTTTTATTCATTTCTTTTCTGTCTGTTATTATTGTGTCTTTAATTGTAATTCTGGGGCAGCCTGGCCATGATGTGCACATGATGGATCTGACAGAGTCCAAGTGCCTATGCTATGTGCTGTGGGAGGTTTAGAAGTGTCACTGCGTGCGGGAATTCAGTTCTTGTTGATTTGGGTTGTTGTTTTTTTTTCCAGTAACATGGTGTTATTAAGAAATAAATTGCACTTTGAGTTTATTCCTACCATTTGTATTTTGTAGCTTTTTTTTTTTTTTTTGGTAAATCCACTTCTCGTGTTCTGAAAGAGATTGAGTCCTTTAAAGCATAACAATTCTCAGAATTGAGCTTTTTGCGTGAGTGAAAAAAGGAACCATCGCTATACTTCAGTGAAAGCAAGCAAGAGACTTGCAGTACAAATGTTCTTTCTAATAGAACTCTCTGCGAGTGCTTTCTATTTAGGTACAACAGTACTTTTTGTCCTTATGGACAAAGCATAAAGAAAAAAACGTCTTTGGCAATGAAGATATTTCTCTGCCTGATAGTAAGAGGCTTTGGTCAAAAGGATCACCCAGAAGCCTGAACATCTGTAATGCCTTCCTGTAGTGCTGACACGCTCCTTAAATATTAACAGGCACCCCTGTCCTGTGTGTTGATGTTCCAAATGCAGGTAACCTCTCCATTTCACACTTGTGCACAGCAGGTTATAGAAACAAGCCAAGATCACTCTTGGAAATTCTTGCTAAAGCTGTGAGATTTGGGCAAAGTTCAGCCTTACAAGTTGTACTTTAGTGCCTGGCTTTTTTCCTCTGTCAAATTACCGGGTTTGGGATGCTTGATTATGACTTCTTTAAATGTGAAAGTCATAGACGTAGGGAATGAACAAGAATAAAGATGACTGGCTCCCATCTTTCACATCTAGACGTTTTCAGATGCTTTGTGAAATGGATCTTTAATAATGCATATTTTGTATTATATAAATATTCAAAAATCCAACTGCTCAACTCCAAAACACTGCAGTACGTAGTAAGAAAATGCTTTAATGATTTGAAAGATTGAGAATGCACATCAAATTATCATATACAAATCTCAAGTGATCGTGTATATGTATTTAAAGCAATCATGCAAAGTGCCTTCTCATATTTAAACAGGAGACAGAAAGATTAATTTATAAAGATTTGAATGGTCTGCTCAACAATTTTTTTAATTTACTTCGTTGATGTAGTTTTAATTAGAAGATTATGGAAAAATTAGTATTCTCTATTATACTTGAGTTGTTGATAACCCTTAAAAGTGTAATCACTGTACATTTCTGTTTAAGCATCCTAAATTAACTGAAATAGTGTTAAAACCCTCCATGATACTTTATTACAGAATTGCTAAAATAATATGTTAAGAACAGTTTATTTTTTTAATGATAATTAGGCTGGTGATCAGAGAATTGGTCAGATATCCACTTCTCTGGATATAGTCCATGTTCATCTGTGCAGACGTATGTGTTTCCACTGAGGGTTTCCCACTATTTCTTTATAGAGTTATCAGAAAAAAGATAAGGGATTATTTTTATGAAGATGGACTATTTTTTTTTTTAACTTCTCTTTATCCTGTATTTTCGGTCAGGAATTAGAGATCCCTGGCAGCCTCCTGCTCTACTGCTCTCTGGTTTTCTTTGTGGAATGTGTCAGGAATGTGGAATTTGAAAAAGAGCACTGTCAGGCATCTGTGATTTCATTATCGCACATAGAATGATTGAATCATAGGATGGCTTGGGTTGGAAGGGACCTCAAAGATCATCAAGCTCCAAACCCTCTTCCTCAGGCAGGGCTGCCAACCTCCATATCTAAACTAGAACAAGCTATTTCAAGTCTCTCTTTTCCTTAGATCACAAACCATTGGTGCAGCAGATTTTTCGGACTTCCTTCTTGGCCTACTAAGAAAGGTGACTTGACCTCACCTCTTCTGAAAACGAGACCTGGATTTTTAAGAGGGAAAAATGGCTTGCTATATATTTGAGTAAATTATGTAATTTCAGCAGTCCTGATTGCTGTCTTCATCGTGACTTCAATCAGCAGAAATTCCCCAGTGCTGAAAGGATACCGAGACGGTGCCCAGGCGGAAGTTGCGATTTTCCACTGAAGTTTCATTGCAAAATGAATGGTAGCTGCGGGGCTGCCGAACAAAACCACATCCTCCTTGTAGCTCAGCCTCGGCTCTCATGTTCATTTCTCTGCTAACCACTAGAGCTGAGGAAGAACGAAATGAAAAAAAATGCAGAAAGCCAGAAGAAAAAGTAGGTGATAGAATAGGCTATGGGTATTGGAGAATAGCAAAAGGATCAAATTCATATAAAATGAAAGTTACTAGGGTTTTTTTTGCTGGTTTAGTCTTATTGTTACCTCTTGTATTTAGAATTATTTTCAATTGTGAATATTCCTCCTTCTCCATATAGAATATATTTTTCTTCAGGAATATATTACAGCTCATTCTTCACCTAAAAATATGCTATAAATCTTTGAGGAGCATTGAAGAAGATCACAGTGTGCACTTGGAGACACCCAAAAATTGCACTGGAATCCTGTCATTTCTTGTGACACTATGACAAATTCCACTTAATATGGTTACTCCACTGAAACTGTTCAGTGCTTTTCACGCTGGATATTAGGAGAAACTTCTCCAAAAGAGCAGTGAGGCATCGAAACAGGATGCCCAGGGAGCTGATGGAGTCACTGTCCCTGGAGGTGTTCAGGAATCGTGGAGACGTGGCACTGAGGGATGTGGTCAGTGGGCAGTATTGGTGGTAGGTGGGTGGTTGGACTGGATGATCTTAGAGGTCTTTTCCAACCGTAATGATACTGTGATTCTATGGGTCTGTATTTAATTAGGAAAAAAAAAAAGTAGTCATTATTACCATTCCTTCGCCACGAGTGTAAGCATACATTACAACTAGTGCAGTTAGAGAATAAAAGTAAATTAATCGCTACTAGAAAATGTATGAGGAGAAGTTTACTCTGTTTTTTTCCTCCAAATAGTCAGGTAGTTGACAGATGAGATGTTTCAGTGAAAAAAACTAAGTGAGATAAATACAAAGGAAAATGAAGAGAGTCGTGTTAAAGAGCATGTATTATGAAACATCCCTTTGCTCTGAATGCTAGGAACATTTGTTAGAAAACAGCTTTTTGTTAAGTAATGCCCTTAATTCATTGTCATTCACAGTATGGCATCTACCACATTTCTTCTTCTATTTTAAGTGGTGTAGAACATGTTTTAAAGAGATTTTTAATTTTTTTTTTCTTTACAAATAAGTAGATGAAAGGGAATAAGTGTATTCAAGTCCCATGAAAGGAATTTATTGAGTCCGTACTTCTAACAAAAAACTGATGGTAGACCATAGAACCAGAACATTTCACTTATAAAACGCAAAATCACTGCAACAAATGAAGAAACTATTGGAAAAAATATTAATTGCAAAATTTTTACTAAAAAACTCAACTGTCAGCGTATTCCATTCTGTTTCTAGAATATTTCTCCACCAACTTTGGCAGAATCACACACATTAAAAACAAGCCAGTTAAGAGTTCTGCTTCATACAATCACTTTAATAAAATATTACCTGTCCTGAGTTGTAACAGGAGGCATCTACAAATTCATAACCACTCAGGCCTCTAGCTTTTACCTTCTCACAAAAATGGGAGCCACCTTTTGTCATTTCTGTTGTCTTGCTTCTTTGCTAGGTCCTTATACTCCTTTGACCTTAGAAACCTGGGAAAAGAGTCTTTTGCCATGAGACTATAGATTAACCTCTGGGCGTCATCAAAACAACTGAGGGTGGGTTCTGAGATGTTCTGAGAGATGTGATTTCTTGTATGGAAGTCAATATTGATCTGTAGGAAGGAAGGAGGAACAAAATCAATATCAGTTGGATTGGAATGCTGAGGTGTACAGGACACAATCAGCTTCTGATTTTCCTCCCACATACCCAAGCTGATGCCAATTGGCAGGGAGGTCATCCCTTCTTTTTCTAGCATTCCAATTTTTCAATTTTATTTGGTTCTTAGACAATTGGCATCACTGGGGGAAAAAAAAAAAAAGTGGAAAACTTGATTTTGATTATTTCATCTTTTTGCCAGACCAAATCCTATGAAGTACAGATCACCAAAGAGCAAATTAGGAATTTGAGCAAATCAGGCTCTGTTTCACATGAAGTTTTCCACCTGGTAAATTGCTGACATAACAATGGAAGGACAGCCAAGTTGAAATGAGTTTTCTGTCATTCCAGGAGTTTGGGATTTGAACTTTCCATTCGATTCCCATCCTCAGTCAGTACCCAAAGTACATGCAAAAAAAAATCTTTACCTCCTTTGGAGCATCAGGTTCGATAAAGTCAGCATAAATCTTTTGGGCTTTGGCTGCGATCTTGGTGGAAGACGTGGTTTTTTTGAAGTCCTCACAAGCCAGCCAGAACTCTACATTCTCCTCACTGAATTCTGACTTCAAAAACTTCCTAAAAGCTGCCAGGCCATCTGGAGAAAAATGTGTGAGACTTGAGGGGGGGAGGGAATCTGAAAAATCAATTTAGATTCTATACATGTGTGCATATATATGCAGGATATATATTGTCACTTATGTTTCTGAAGTTGTTTTGCCCACCAGCCAGCAGCTAGCCCCAGGAGGCTCTTATGGGGAAAATAAGTAGGGTGTGAAACAACAGCAGTGGTAAGGTGATGAAGGGAGTTCTGCCAGTTATTAACAGAGGAAGGCTCCCAATACCTGCTTCGTGTGAGCCGGTCTCTCCAGTGCTCATTATTCAAAAGGAAATCAGGGTCATGGTGGTCTATAAGAGGATTTGGAGCAACTAGACAATCAGGGATGTGAGGCTGACCCCACTCTAAGCATCGTGCTGAACATTAATTTGTGCTGTGGCAGTGTGCTGCTCTCAGAGTTGAGGCTAGCTAGCTCCTATGCCACCTTTCAGGTGATGAGTTTCAATTTGAGCAAGGCTTACGCAGCAGTACTGTGGCTCAGAGTACATGGTGAGGTGGGCAGACAGCAGTGTGCAAACCTGATGGCAACGTCTGCGAGTTGGTTTGACATGGTTTTGTTATTTTTAACACTTTTCATGTACTCTTACCTTTATTAGCAAGTAGTGTATCCACAGAGTCAGACCAAGCCAGTGTTTCTTCTGTGTTTGACCTATGGAAACAACATCTATCCTTGAAAATAGCATCGTGATCTTTTGCCTGTGCAGGCCATGGCAGCTACTCTATCATTTGGATATCTCAGTGAGGGAGCATTTTTGGGGGTGGAGGCATAGAGGACCTACACTCATAAAACAGAATGTTATTTGACACTGGAAAATTCATTCAAGAAACAGCATTAATAATGTTTGCAATTGGTTGAACTACAGTAAAAGCATAGGAGGGATATCAACGTTTTAGAGTACTGAATTCCTTCTCAAGTTCAAATGGATTAACCATCAATATGACACTTACTGCTTGGAATGAGTAGAATTATCTAAACAATTATGCTAACGCCGGTAGCATTATGGGCTTTTTTTCTCAGTTTCTTAGCAGTATAAAAATTTGAATACATGTAAATAAAGGTTAAAGTAAACACTTTCAGTCCTACTAAACTTGTCTTTGATTGAAATTAACACTTTATGAGCTTTTAATTTAAACCTCCAGCAGAGAAAAAAAAACTCCCTCGATCAGTATTATTGTTATTGCTTACAATTTTTGTTTGGAAGAAAACGGTTTCTTAAAAATGAAGCACTGTGCAGAGATGTGTCTCTTAGCACACAGCTTCTGATGGAATCAATGTGTGCCTACTTGCTTTCCTGCATGCTATTTTCCTATTTGATTTTCTCAATATCAGGCATCTCCAAATGAGCATTAATCTCATAACTACCATTTAGCAATAAGGAAGAATAAATCTGGTTGGTGACATTGGTCATATTCTGTTTTGTAAGGAGTATATTTCATCACTGAACCTCAGTTCAGTAGTATGCAACTAAAATTTTTTTGCTGAGGAAAAATTTAAAAAATATATAAAATCTGAAAGATATCCTCCAGCAAATCTTGCAGGCAGGTCATTTCAAGAGTCAGCCAGTTCTCCACGTAACCTCTAAGGACATGCAGTGAAAGACAAAGGATTTATTTAAGTCGGTATCCTGTTATCTACTCCAGACAGACTGAGTAGGAGATTTTTTCAAACATCCTTTGAATTCTACTGAAATTAATGCACGTTTAAAATACAATCGCTTAAAAAGTTCAGAGGGAATGAAGAGGATGTTTTGCTGACATTTTGCACTGAACAAAGAACCCAAATTAAATAGTTTAAAGAGCAAGCCCAGAGCAGAGTAATTGAGTAAGCCATTGATTACTCCCTCCCCTCCAAATTTTAGATACAGATTTTCTATGTAGTGAAAAGAGGATGAAAACTCTAGAATACCTAGAAAGGTATCCAACAGATCCCTGCCTCATGTTGCTTTTATTGAAACTGTTATATTTTATACAAAGATCTTGAGAGGAAACCAGGTTTCCCACCCTGTGATTATCTATCTTACACAGGTTACGATGGCATGGGGGTTTGAAACTGAATTTACATTCCATGTGAATGCAATCATCACTTGACTTTCTGGCAGCTCTGGAAATATTTGTATGCCTCTTCCCTCTCATTTGGTAGTAAGGGGGAACTGAACAGTTTGGAAGTGTTTTGTTTCAGTGCAGTCAAAACAAATCATGGAATTTCTTACAGACACATAAATCATATTTTCTGACTAGCCTCTGTTCCTCAAGAAAGCTCACAAATTAATTGTTGTGAGGCTGGGCATTCTGTGTGCAAGGCAGGCAGGAAGAACCAGAGGTGAAGGAGGGCATTGTTGTGTTGGCAGAGCATCACAAGCCATTGGCAGTGTCTGCGGTCACGATGGGTGGGAAGCTGGGATATGTGAACAACAGAGTGAAAAAGGATCCCATGTACCACTAGTGCTATTTTCTATGTATATTTCTCAAGAGCTTATGTGATTATATGTAAGGAAAATGCTTTTTTACATGCAGTGAGGCATGGCACAGGCTCCCCAGACAGCTGCAGGTGCCCCATCCCTGCAGACAGCCAAGGTCGGGCCAGGTGGGCTCTGAGCACTGATGGAGCTGTGGGTGTCCCTGCTCAGTGCAGGGAGTGAGACCAGATGGCCTTTAAGGGTCCCCTCCAACTCGAACCATTCTGTGATTGTATGATTCTATTATGGTGCCACCACGTACTGTAACTGCAGTTATATTTATAATGATTACAGTTGGTTTCTGCACTGACATTTTTAAAAGCAAGTGCTTTTGGAGCTGTTGGTTTACTTGTATCCAGATTGCACAAAATGACATTTAAATAAATAGAAGAAAATGATATACGTATTTATAAATATGTATGCACGCATACAGGAGGGAAACTGGAGAGCAAATACATTCAGTCTGGATTGAAAAACAGAAATGAAAGCTAAATGTAGCATCACGTAGTGCTTTGTGAGATGTTGTGTGCTAATGAGATTAATCAGCAGAGAATTTCTTTCAGTGACAGTAATAAATTCTAATTAAATATAACAAATTTGGGGTGCTTCAGCAGAACAAAAGGCAAAGATAAGATAGTACAAACATAATTCTGCTTCTCTTCCTCGTCAGTAATACTATTTGATTTAACACTGATCAGTCAGAGAATGATCTCACTGATTTTGTTGGATTTAGATGGGAATGGCAAGCAGAAGTGACAACAAGGAACCAAAATCATCATTTTACACTGTAAGGGAGAAGGAAAACAAAAAGTGTCCATATCATTTAAAAGATGACCATCTCATAAAAAGCCTAAGATTAAAATAGCCATAAAAAACAACTCACTTCACTGGCATTTTTTGTTCCACTGTCTGACTGTCACGGGTAGGGCAGAATTTCTTTTCCTGACTGATCTTCAAGCTGAAGGTGATATGATAGCAGGAACAATACAATTAGCACGTGCGTCCCCACAGAGTACAATGCAAGCTGACAGACTGCTTTTAACACCTCCTTTACAATTTTCTCTTTCAGAACTACGGCTTATTTTTCAGCAGTGGCCATGCTATCTTACAGTTATGCTCTGAACAACATCTTATTAGAGAAATCAGCTTACTGTGGAACAGCAGGATGGAAAATAGGTTCAGTGCACCTAGCTAGAAAATTCTTCATTGGATTTCTTTGCTCTTATTATTGTATCTGCTCTAAGCACAGCTGTGACTTATCCATTACCTTACTCATCTCGAAGGTCTAAGCCCTTGAAGTGCTGTCTCTCATTTATTCAAACAAGTCTTCTCACACTGATGCTGTTACAAACAATGGGGTCGTGTGGTATTTGAAAACTGTAATGCAGCAGTTTCTTCTGCTCTTCCTGATACTTCATTTGGTGTGATCTCTGCGAAGAGCACCACTCTGTCCCAGAAACATCCTCATATAATTTTTCCTTTTGCTGTCATATCTCTTTCTTTATTCTTTTCTTCTCAACACTTTTCTTTCTCAGTATATTCCTTGCTCCCTTGCTCTCCTGAACAAGGAAGCTTTTACTTTCATGCCTCTCTCCTTGCGGTGCTGCCTAATCCTTTGCTGCCCTTACCCAGCTCCTTTTATTCTCCTTTAATAGAGAAATATATATATGTATTAGCTTGAGAATAAGATGAATATTGGTAAAAGAACAAGTGGATATAAACAGTAAAAAATTTTCATTGGGAAAACAGAAGGCTTCAGAAAGTGCCACTGATAATTTCCCCCAGTGGGGTTTTTGTCCTCTCTACTTCTCTGTACTTCAAATGTAGAGACTGATACATTTATGAAAGAGATTATTTTACATTATTGCCTTTGATAATAGGAAACTATTATCAAATACAGTGGCCCAAGGTACCCCTTTCAGCCCTACTTTCTTAATACTGAAGAAGATTTCCAGCAGCAAAATGAAGCTGTTGGGTTTTTTTTTCCTGCAAATTTCTTATCTTTGAACTCACTTGCTTCTAAAGTAATAATAGAATGACAAAATAAGAACTACCATCTTTATTCTCTGCCATTAGTTATTTGGTCTAATTTGCACAGAATATATACCATGAACTATAAAATAGTGCCAGACAAGACCAATATTTTACTGAAATTTCATAAGGAGAAAAATTGTCTCGGTATTACAACGCATCCATCAGCTACTTGTGCAAATGTGTTGGTTATTCATAACACACTGCATCAAACAAACAAGCTCTCTATTGACCTGCAATGGATTTATGAATGTGCTGCCTTTGGCGGATGGTAACAGAGCTAGAACTGTAGGAAAGGGAATGTGGATCTGTTGGTTGCACATTTCGTCCTTCACCCCTATTACTTGATAAGGACCAACATCCTTTATGAAAAGGTATTGGCTGATTGGAGCAATTAAGCCTATCATCTTGTGTTCTGCTTAACCACACCTGAGCTAGATGCTACTATCTCAACAGGCAGTGTAAAGCAACTCTTCAGCTTGCGCTATTGGTGTATTAACCTAAGAAATCACTTGCATTTTTTATATATTCCTAAAAGAGTTGCCTTGTACTCACCTTAGTGCAATGTGAGAAAATGCCCCACTCTCCCACAAAAGTTTTAGTGTGTTGCTGTCAGGTTCAATACCTTAATGCCCTTCAGCACTTGGCCTTTGTTGAATCCATTCCACAGCCAGGCTTGTTGGATCACTCCATATAGCATAACCTCAGGAGGAAAATGAAGGTTCTCTTGATCCAAGCAATACAAGTAAATGTAGATTTACCACCTTTCTTAAGTTGGAAGATGACCTAGGCACTGCTGGCATCCTAGTGAAATGGAACCACCTGTCATAGCAGATGCAAATACATTTTAATCACAGCACTATGCAAATGCCCATCTTCCACCTTCCAATAATATGGCATGGGCAGCTTACAAATGCATTTATTTTTTTTTTTCCATGTGAATAACTTTGTGTATCTTCAGTATACCACAGAGATACTCTGCATAAAGAAATTAGCTGTTATTTTCCACCCAAGCAATGTGTCCCTTCAGGTAAAAGATTTGATTTCCAGAACAATCTGTCAAAATGTTTTACATCGTGTTGTGCTCCTTATGCACATGATTTCTAAGTGCTATACAAACACAAATGTTGACTAAAGGAGAACTGGAAGTAATTCTCAGAAGAAAACTATGGAAGCTTGATGAGTTTAAATTAGTACTAGTCAGCAGATTGTTTGTCCCAGATCTTGTCCTGGATGAACAAACTGCTGTTTTTATAGCAGCAGATTAACAAAAATTCCTATTTGCACAAGAAGCCTGTATGGTGCAAACTTACAGGGTGGTATCAGAACCTTGCACTTGGAGGTAATATATGAAAAGTAGGCATGTCATAGAGAGCTCCTGAGCCATAATTCCCTGTATCAGTTGTCTTTTGAGTTGTGCCTTGCTGGCAGTGTGTCCCAAACCAGGCTGGGATAGGTAATGGATGAAAGGGAAAACCAATACACCAATGTTTTTGATTGTGAAGAAACAAGTTTCTAAAATACAAGAAAATAGCACAGTGAAGAAACAGCTGCTTAGGAACTGTAGTTATGTTAGCTTTCAGCTTAACCTTCTGTTCTGTTTGAAAACTAGGTATTGACTTCTACAGGGTTGTTTTTCACGCTACTTAATTTTAACTAAGTTTTCTAATGAAGTCAAAGATAAAGTCTGAATCATAACAACTCCTTCTCTTGTGAGTTGACATCTGAGATGTTTACGCCAACACAGGTTGTTTAGGAAAGCAGAGATAAAAGCTTTAAAGTAAAAACAGGCACCCTCACAGCTCAGTTATCACTGGCTGGTGTTAAAAAAAAAAGAAAAAAAAAGAAGATGGCAACAAGACAGCAGGAGAAAAGAAGAAATATAGGCAAGCTGAATGTTGTATAGAGGGCTGATATTTATATCTTTGGCATACAGCCACACAGGAGCTCAATGGTCATTTGATTGAGACATTTGACTGTAATGCAAAAAAACAGAGGGGGGTCTAGCACAGGTATCTGAGCAAGGTGTTCATGCATGAGCATATAAAGCATATAATGCACTGAAAAGAAGATGATTTTATGCATTTTTTTTTTCAGTTGGATCCTTTCAGTGTTACGCATGGAAAATAATTTGGAAGGGAGAGGGAGCTGTATTCAAAGTTAATTAAGGCAGCTGAGCAGCTGGGGACAAAAAGAAGGGAGAGAAAAAACAACCTGTCATTTGTGAGTCACTTACTTGCCTCTATACACCACAGCTTCTAAGAGCCACATTATCAATTGCCTACAGTTGTGGTAGAAGGAAACCTTTCTTTTCCTTTGAGATTCATGATGTTAGAACTCAGTCCTCTTGTTTCTTGTCAGTACAAATATTAATTAAGTTGTCATTTGCACAATATCAAATCCCAAAAGCCAAAGAAAAGATGTGAAGATGTGTATTTTGATCTCCTTCAAGCTAACAACAGCAGATAATAATTCAGTTAATTCAATGCATCTAATCAGAGCTAGGTAAAAGAAAATAAACAGGCAACAAACATCTGTGCTACAGAATTCTGTAGATTATTTCCCTCATACATTGAAGCTGGAGACTTCACATATGTAAGGAATAAAGTGAAGTGTTTATTTAGGGTGAAGTGTTGTTAAGAGGTATTTTGAGAGCTCTTACTGAACACTGAACAACACACACGAATCCAAAAAGCTGCTACATAATGTACTTCCCAATAAAAATATATACCCAGTAGGCTTTGTATGTGTTACTCACATCAAGCCAGCTAAACAAGAGGATTTATTTAACTGCGACATTGATTCTGCCAAACCTAGAGAAGCCCAGCCATGATTTCTGGCACTGCCCATGCTATAAATACATCCCTGCAGAGCTAGCCTTCAATCTGATCAATCCTGTCTCTCTGAAGCATGGAGAAGTGTCACGGACTTCTACTCAACCTGTTTAGTTCATCTTCCAGCACTCGTTTTTCTGCCACAAGAAAAGAGTCTCCTCTAGAAAGCAGATAATTTGTCCTTTTGGTTTATCTTTCTGCCCTTTGTCTTCCTTTCTCTGAATTTATCTCGACTTTCTTCTTATAGTAGTTCCCATGGCCTCAGTCTGCTGTAAATCATGGTTCATAATTATCTCTGAAAAACATACATGCATAAGTAGCTTACCAAGAATAGCTTATTTGTTTGTTGTAATTGCAAAACTCATGCAAGGGACTAGCACTGTCAGTACTACAGAATGATGGCTGTGAGGAAGGCCTCCCTGGCGATAAGCAACATTTTCCATGTTCCTGTGAAAGGAAACAAAGGCGCCTGCTGACTTTTATTTATCACTGCAGACAGTTTTGAGTAACTGCTTGGGTTTTTTGCTAAGGAGGAAATGTCTTACTCAAAGCACTGTATTCGTCATTTCTCTGGGTTTTGGAACAGTAGTAAATGCGTGTATTCTTTTACATTTGTTTCATCCACAGCAAGAGCAAACATTAGATTCTGTGAAGGTATGAAGTAACGTGATCACCAGTTGAGAATCCGGCTGCAAACATACAGGTTTTATGCCTGTGTTGTATCTGACCCACTGTTATCTCTCAAGTGAACTATCAAGTATGGCATTTGAGAGCTGGATGTGACTGTGGGCAGCCTGGTCTAGTGGCTGGTAACCCTGCACACAGCGTGGGGGTTGAAACTAGGTGATCATTGTGGTCCTTTTCAACCCAGGCCGTTCTATGATTTGAGAGGATGCCAGTTATGGAGGTGAGCACAGAAAGGAGCATTTGTGTGCAGTATGGATAGTCAGCTTTAGGGCACAGAATTATGTACTGAGAGCAATGGTTGGTTGTGTTGTTTAACTGGCTTCATACCTAGCTTAGCATGGGGAGAAAAGGACGCTTCCTTCTAGACAGACATATGCATCCACATGACCAGATGTTTAATGACACGTGTTGTGTTAAAAGGGCATTCTTGGCCATTGACTCATTTGGTTGGGGGAAAAAAAAAAGAGAGAGAGAGAATACAAATATTTGATAGCAACGCTAGTTTATACAGCATAGTTTAAATATAAAGAAAAGATGTACATAATAAGAAAAGAGTATATAATATATCCCTATAAAAAAAATTAAATAGACATTATTATCATCCTCTTGAAATATGCAATAGCTAAATTTTAATTATGCAGTAGCTGTAGTTAAAATCCATATAATTTTTACATTTCACCTAACTAATGTTCCCATGTGTTTTGCAGTATGAGAAAATACTACAAATATTCTATGCTTAGTGTAGGAAATACTGCAAAAAACAAAATCATGTGCAAAGGTTAGCTATATAGATTCAAACTGTGACGAAACTGTCTTACAATACAGGCTCAAAATACATGATGGGTGTAATCAAATAGCGTTTTAGACAACATTTTTACGTCAGAAACTCAGATTCTTCTTTCTAATATGATAACAGCTCCTGCTTGAGTTTAAAAAAAAAATACTGTACAAAAGCTTCACATGGCATGTCTCAGGAATAAGTTGCCTGGTTGTCTACAGTAAAGGGATTACACACTAGCAACAAAGCTATGACCTGGTATGAATGCATGCAACTTTGCTTGCCACTTATTTACACCGCCTAAGGATTTGTAATTTATAACACATGTACAATTTGCTTGCAGTAGCTAGAATTCATGAGAGCTGAGTTCCCTATTGCCAGATGGTAAAGTCTGGTCGCACACCCTGGAAATCATTGACAGTAAAGGACTGTGATCGTCTCCTAAGAGTGGGACGACCAGGATTTCTCCCCTTAACCAAATTCAAATAAAGATCAGATCTTAGGAAGCGTGGATAGCTGTCTTGCTCCATCAGCCTGTAGACTGTGTTTTGTGCTGCATCAAAGGTGGTAATGACGGGCTGTTCAATATTCTGACTTGTAACTTCTTTGGTTTTAAAGTCCAAATTCACCTGGAGAATGAGGAAAAGTGTACTTGTTTAACGTGCATTAACACAATTCTTTTGTTGTCCGTAGCAAAGATACATTGGTGAAAGAGTTTCCTGATAAAAAGGACTTTGAATCCTGTATATTACTCAGTATTAATGCCATAGAATTAGTGCATTCCTTTTCAGTTATGGCTGCCAGAAAGTCTACACAAATGTGTCACTGGTACACTGAAGAACTGCTAAAATATCAGTTAAGATAAAACCAACACATTTTGATGTGGTAGTGTCTGATTAAAAGTAACTCACTATCAGCAATCTTGGAATAGTTGCTGCCGCCACGTTTTACATCACCAGCCTAAGGCTGGACTCCTTCCTTTTTCATTTAACATACATATAGGACTTTGTCTCATTAGAATACACTAGTGTATATTAAAAATTTCTAGATGCTGTATGGGGCTTTGATGGCAGGAGGACGAGAAAATTGTAAGAATTAAAATATTAAAATAATTTTAGTGAGTTTCTGGAGGCTCTAGAGATGTGGAAAGCATATCAAAATGATCATTTATTCCATGCACTGGTGCATTTTCCTGGGAAGATTTCACACAGAAATCATAGAATCATCGAGTCATAGAGCAGCTTGGGTTGGAATAGACCTCAAGGATCACCAAGCTCCAACCCCCCTGCTGCAGGCAGGGCTGCTAACCTCCATATCTAATACTGGATCAGGCTGCTCAGGGCCCATCATTATGTTACTCTTGGTCAAAGTATGACTTCTATGCTCTGTCCCTTCCCCAGCTTTCTTCCTGCTCACCCTTTTGTTTGTCAGTCTCAAGGCATGACAACATCAGGACTCAATGTCCTACCATAATTGCTCATAGATTATTTAGCAATGATAAGTTCCGGCTCAAATAATTAGAGAACCACCAAATGGCTTGGGTTGGAAGGGACCTTAAAGGTCATCCAGTTCCAACACCCTGCCGTGAACATGGCAGCCAACCACTAGACCAAATTATGGGTTTTTCTTTTTATGTAAGGTCCACCCACTGAGATGCTGCAGGAGAAGGAGTAAAAAAGGCTGTAAGTTTTGAAAGTGGAACTAGTAAGCCAGGCCCCTGTCAAAAGTGTATCTGAATGTTATATATAGTCTGTGAGAATTATGGGTGGAGATTGCACCGTTTTGTAATCCTTCTATTGAAATAAGGATTACACTTATTTCACCTTTGTTACAGGGAAGTAGTAGCTGGAGTTTAACTTCTGCTATTCTGACAAGTTTAAAAAAAATATAAGGGAAAGGGAGAATTGGCAAGTGCCATGTTTCTGCTCAACCTTGACAGAATTAGAGGAAAATGTAAGTACAGAATATCTACTGAGGAGGCTGAGCTTGATTTCAGTAAGAGTTCATCATCTCCTTCCCAGAGCAGGCAAAAAGAAAAAAAAAAAAGTGTTCTTTTTGCTCATTTACAATATGATTCCTTCATAACACATTTCAGAAAAATGAAGAAATTGTAAATATTAAGACTTTTTGCACTACTATAGTAATAAAAAAAGGCCTTTGTGTTAATTAGTATTGACATATCAACTTGTTTTTATCTGTAGCAAGAATGCTCAGCCAGAGCTTTGAGGATGGAGAACATTAATCGTGAAAAATCTTTGCTTAAAACGTTATCACTATCATTTAAGGGATATGTTTAATTTAGTAAATTCTTCTAGCCTCCTTCAGTCCTTTGGCTTATTTAAAACAAAAGCTTCTGAGTCTGAGCTGTGTAATCATTTGACAAATAGTTTAAGGGAATGGGAGAATTATTCTGTTGTTCTGGAAGCAGCATTGACTACAGACAGATAATACTTCTTCAAAAATGCTGGCTGATACATTTGGTGGCAGCATTAACATTTATCAGTGCTCTTTTTCACTAAATGAACTGTGTGTGTATATATATCTATATGTACATATATCCTGGCTCTATGTACCAACAGGAATCTTTGATTCCCGTGATGTAAAATTCAAACTCAGAGTTCTATACTTAGAAGAGCAATGTGGAATGGGTTTTGTAAGGAGTCTGGAGATGAATAAACTAAGCAATTACTTCCAGGCTTCCTTCCAAAGCTTTGACATGTAAGATACAGTCTCCTTAAGTCAGCGACAACACAATTAATGGTTGTTACTGTTTCTGGACACACACTTCTTAAAAGCAGATTTCATCAGATGCAGTTGTGAAAAACACTGTGTACGCTGAGGAATGTTTTCACTGTACCTCTTTTGGAGCATCTTTCCGTATGAATGTTTCATAAATGGTCTTAGCTTTTGGGAAAAGTTCGTCTGTAGTTTTGCTTTTCTTGTAATCCTCACAAGCTATCCAGAACTCAATGTTCTCCTCACTGAACTCCGTTTTCAGAAATCTTGTGAAGGCATCCAATCCATCTACAGAAGGGAATATTGAATTGTGTTAAATGAATATATATATATATATATCCTTATCAGACAGTTAATATCTTCAGGCAGTCTAAGCAAAGTCACAAAACAGGTTGTGCTCCCTTTAAATTACATTGCAACATAGATCATTATTTTAAATTGCATAAAGGCTTTAAAATAACTGCATGCTGTAACTCCCATGACAGAATTCTCATTATTGATTGCCAAGACCTTAAGAATGTATAAATGGAAGCAATCAAATCATCTGTATGTATCTGGAAGTGATGGAATTTGCCAAATATCAGATTGAATTAGGTTAACCCAAATGCAATGAGAATGTCTGCCCACTGCAGCTGGATTATGTGTGTGTCCCTCCAGAATGGAAGGATGATGACATATGTGCATCTGATACCTATGTAAGCAATGGGCCATTTCAAATAATGGCTATCTTGGATCCTATTCCTGTTTTAGGACCAAACTGCACCAAAACTGACAAATTCTTTTCTTTGGTCCATTGAACATGTTTTTGTTTTTAAGATTTTGGTCTTGCAGTCAGAAATATTTGAACAATATTCAAATGTAATAAATCTCTGTCATAACCATAACGAAGAGTCAGTTCTTTCGCCAAATATTGCCTCCTATAGCTCTTATTATTTGTAAAGCAAATGATTGTTGCCTTGGTACACTTTGTATGTCCACTAAATATTCAGTGCTGAATCAACCATTGATTCTCAAGAGTTTAAAACCACTGAGATTGTGGCTCTGGATGGATTTATCTCTATGAAAGGGAGTACTAAGGATGTGGGTCAGAAATGCTGCTCCTAAGCTAGAGTCTTGACATCTCCAAACTTTTTAGATCCTCTGTAGTCCATTTAAATATCTCTTATTTTCCCAGAGTTAACAGAAGACTAAAATAATCTAGCTCCAATGTAACAATCAACATTTAAATCAACATTTAAGGGATGACTTGGCTAAACTTTTTATCTGAAGATCAATACATTCCACTAAGAGCAATGTTTCCATAATGATCAGTTCACTCAAGTTCTCATCTTCAGGCAAAGTCCCAGTGCCAGTAAGTTGTTTGACTAAGTTCAGAATGAAACTTGCAGACAATATACAAAGATACAGTATGATTTCCATGCAAACTCAGATTTTTTTGCTATTTTTATCTTGGATAAAAAATTTGCTATTTTTACCTTGGATTAGAATGGAGAGGCATTTTCTTTCAATTTCTCCCCTACTATAAGCTTATTTTAATTTTATCCCTATGTCACGCGTGGCTACTTATCCCTAATAGAAAAATAATCACTATAAAATGTTTAAGAACAAAGAGGCTGTCACTTCATGAAAGATGAACTAAGAATACTGATGATAATACAAAAAAAATTAGCCTTTATTATACAAGCTGTATAAGAAGACTGGACAGGAACAACGCGATACTGGGCAGAGGCCAAATGATGGATGAGACTGCCAGCAGATTTCCAGCCGTTTTTTAAGACTGCCATTTGGGATTTTAATGGTAATAGAGCAGTTAGCTCATCAGAACATAGCTCTTCTTTTTGACAATACTGAAAAACGTAGTCTAGAAAAGATAAGATAGCCTTCTGCTAATGTGAGTGAATAATGTTCTAAATAAATGATGAGCATGCCACTATTATAATGGATTTTTCCAAGAGTCTGATTAGAATTCATACAGCAGAAAAGCATTTTATTCATTACAGAACAATTTAATTACCTTTGGCTGCCTTTTACTAGTTATTGCAGAAACTCTTCACTTCCTATCACTTTGTCCAATAAAATACCAAGCTTAGAAGTTATTTTCAACTACGTTCAGTAGTTGACAGCATGCTGTAGCCTAAGCACATGAGCAGAGCAGGAACACATGCTGCTATAAATGACCCAACGTACCTAATTTAGGTAACTGACAGATCTATTTAAGTGCACAACTGCGTTTTGTAATTTTCCATCAATTTTCCACCAGCATACTCTTCAGAAAGAGAAGAAAAGAGTACTAACCTTTCTGGGAAAGCAGTTTGTCAAAGGATTCTCCCCATTTCATTGCTTCTTCAGGAGACACACTGCTTAAGAAACAGAATATGGTTTTGTGGAGCTGTGCATGCCGTGTATTCATCAAGTTATTTTGGTATGCTATCAATTACTACTATTGCTCTGGACCATTTCACAAAGTGATAAGGTTCTGTTGCTGTAGGAGCTCTATTACAGACTTCAGAAACATAGAGTGTAATGTTTTCTGACTCTTTCCTGAAGTTGCCTCTTTTTTTTTTTTTTTTTTTTTACCTTTAAAAAAATAAAAGATCAGAGCAGAGATTTTTCTTTTGTTGTTTATGTTGTGCTTCTGTGAGGAATCTTTGAGGAAATAGAGGTGATGCAGTATGGCAAAACTCACAAGGGAAGCAGGTCAGTCATCTGGTTAGTTAGTAAAAATGTTCTTGCAGAGATGTGGTTGTGAGGCTGCATTACCACAGCCTATTTGTGATGAAGTACGGGAAGTTCAATAGGCTGAAGACGAAGCTGTAGAGGTCTGGTTTAGATGATAGTTTTCTAGGGTATAAGCACTTACAGTCTGGTTTGTTCACCACAAACATCTTTCAAATGTCACGTTATTCTGAGATGCTGCACTTAATTTGCAAAACTCCACGTATTCATCATCTGTGCCAAGTTAGATCTATTTCTCAATTATTTGCAATATTCTGTCTTAGAGAAATATACAGGTAGGAAAAAAAATAATAATTTTATTCTTCCAAATAAAAATCTCAGGAACCTCTTTGTTTTTGTGCTGCATAGGTTATTCCTATACATACACATACAATGGGACACTACAGGAATTGGCACAAGGCTGGCATTAACTTTATCATGCTAAGACTATGCCTTAGTGAAGAATGAATATTAACATTTAGAACCATTTTCATTTGGTGACATAGCATTGTACTCTGAGAATGGAAATGTCCTCATTTAAGCAGCTTGTCCAGGGTTAGTTGATAGTGGAGCTGAGAACCAGAAGAACTTGTTCTGCATTGAGCACTTTTGGAAATGATGCCTCTTTCCTGCCCCAGGCTCACATTTTTTCTGCTGCCTGATTTACACAGCTTGGGTTCCCTTGGCAAAATCTGTAGTCACATAAATTTTAGATGAAGGGAAATTCCAATGACTATGAGAGGGAATTTAAGCTAGTAATGCTCTCGGTTTTGTATAAAAGTAGAAGGAGGATTTGTATTTTATACTTTTACAGGTGTCATGTGTCTCCTAGCTGAAGTCATTGCTTATAGGAATGAAATTCTTAGCTAGGGAGAGACAAACAGTTCTCAAGGCGTACAAATAATGGAGAACTGAAATGTGAAAAATGAATGTAGGCCAATAAAGCAGGGGAATTCTGGATTCAGGGAAAGCGAGACCTCGTTCCCTCACAGAGTTTTTAATTATGGGAAGTACAAAGAGTGCAGTTCTCTGAACTGTGCGTGCTTGTACATCTGGGAATAATGGGTTACTACAGCCACAGAAGTGAATTTGGTAATGGTGAAAGATAAGCCCTGACAGCTTCAGAGCACATACACAGTCCAGTAGCGCACAGAATGCTGGAGAGGTTCTTTGCTGGAAACTCCTAGTGTGATTTCTTCATTTTCTTTTAGAAAGAAAGTAGCTTCACAGATCCCCAAGACATTGGCACACCAGGGGGTGCTGCCATAACAAAGAGAAACCAGAACCTGGGTACTCAGCCACCCAAATGAAAATGAGCACTGAAAAGGTATCATCTGCCTACAGGTGGCATGGAGGCTGTGCTTTCTCATTTTAGGTCCAATCTTAGCACAGTTTTACATGTCTGGAACTGAGGAACTGAGGAACTGAAAAAGGTTGTTTGCAACACTCCTTTACCTTTGTTCATAGCTTCAAGATTTTTTAAGTGAACTGTAGAACCACTGAATTAAGCAGAACAGCACAACAAAAAAGTTGGGGGGGGTTGAGGGAAGCAATGAAATCCTACCCTGGGAGTGTGGAGAGGAAAGTCTTCCAGATCATGAGTACTGCTATCGTTTGGATAGCCACGATATTACACATATGAGAAAGCATTCTGGTCAAAGCAGTCGGCCCCTAAAGCAATAATTTAACATTAACAAGACTTAAAAATGAGATAGGAATCTCTGAAGTGTTCTGCATTGGAAAGAAAGGAGCTGCTAATTTTTTAGGCCTTGGAGCTGCAGTACATCTGCAGTACTTTTCATCACTCAAGACCTACAAATGTAATTCTTCGTGTATCTCTGAGATTCTGGTGTCCTGGTGAGGTCAAGAACTAAGTTCTCACTGAATTTAACAAAAATATTTCACTCTACATCTTTGTGGGAAATAGTGTCACAGAGACTATTAGAGCAGTGTTTAAACATCAGTATTTGAATTTGGGAGACGAGACAGTGTTTTGTTAATACTGCAATTATCAAGGAACTATACATCCAGTATTTGAGATGCATCCAGAATTCTTTGGAAAATCTGTTTTCTCGAGAGCTATATGATTTCCTTCTAAACAGTAACTTTTCACCTCCATTTCTGAGTAAATGCTTGCTTGGGATAACCAGTGGACTTAGAAAAACGCTGTTGGCATGAGTAAAGATTTTTGTATATGTGCACATGTGGGCTACAATCTGCACTTAGTGGTGTGAAAAAACTACTGGTGAGTTGTTTTGTTCTATGCCAGATAATTCTATACTATCTGTATGCTTGAGTTAGATAGCCAACTTTAAATGAAACGGATTTTGAAAGTATTACTCTCTGCCAAGTCTGAATGCACACATGCATTTGCAGGAAATGTTCTGGGTCACACTGAAACTTCCTAGAAGGAATCCCCATCGTCTCTGCCTTTTATAATGCCTACCTTGATGCTTTTGTCAAGTTTGTCGGTTTACCAAGATGTTCAGCTTCGTGTAATTCAGATTTCTGCAGGAGAAGGCTCAGCCTGTTTCTCTTCTGCTTTGCTCTACAACAGAGTTCAAGTAGCTTTTAAATCAACTTTGTTAAAAGGTTTTTTTTTCCAGGCATTTTCTTTGACTAAAATCTCTACCTCTGCACCACAGGTCCACAAAGGTTATCTTACACTAATATTTCTAATACTTCCCCTATTTATATTATTCACGTTAATGAATTTCTTTTTCAGATATTAACATGAATTGCATATGAAGCACAAGCAAACAGAAGTGGGAATCTCTTTGTTTTTAATGCATTTTCCACTAATTTTGAAGGAGAAGGGTAAAATTTCATATTAGGGACATGAGCACAGTTCATGAACACATGAAACAGTTGGCTCAGCATCTTCTACTTTTAATGTTCTGCAAAGAAAAAAGGAAGCAGTGCTTCCTCACGCTTGCAGTCTTTACAAAGAATATTTTCCAGATCATACTAAGGATTTAAAAAGCATTTTTCAGAACTCTGTGAAACCTGCCTATCTTATTTACCTAGTTTATGTATTTGTTTCTTGTATCTAAAAACTATTTCCTTAATGAATAAATATTTCATGTCTACAATTCCCAGGCTTGCAGTTCACCAGTTTTACATACGCTGGTCAAGATGAGAAAGATCTGCGCCCTAAATTCACACCACGTTAGAAGAATCCTCTGCATAAACAACACTCAAAGTGTCAGCATGACCTTAAAACTTACCCGGGCTTGCTTGCTTTATTTGGCTCTTCTTTAACTGTTGATTTCATGACTTTGTAATAGGATTTCTCCTTCGAAGCAGAAATGTTCAGTTGAGGGAACAAAAGAAGTGGGTTCTCCATCTTCTAAAAAAGCTTCCCAGTTTTACAGAACGCTTCTCTGAGTTCCTTACAGCGGTTTCATCTCTATACGTGGTGCATTCAGCAAGGCGTGTCTCGGGCTGGATTCCCCCAATTGGCTGTAGAACAGTTTTCGGAGCAGGTTGTGGGAAGGAGGAGGGTTGCCACCTTAGCTGTCGGTGCAGCTGCAGGCACACAGGACAGAAGTAGAGTTCTGCTTTTACAGTCGTCATTTAAGGAAGTGAGATTACAACTCTGCAAAATGGCCGTTGCTCATACGGACAAATGCAGCTTTCAGCAGAGCGACTCCTGGTTCTGTGCTTGTGGAACTCCACGGCCTAGAATAATTAGGATGATGCCACCATCTTCTCCCAGAAACGTGTGAGAAGTGCGTATAGCTCCTCTAAAATGAACTTTAACGAGAATCACTTGTAGTACAAAATGGGTAACGTTACCCTTATGCTCCTAGAAGAACTTCCAGCTGACCTTAAATTGCCTTCTGCAGTCAGATGCCATATGCTGAACACAGAGTTAGCTCTACCTACAACATGCTAACTGGAATCTCAGCATTTCTGAGGCTACAAGAGCCTGATGAAGCAGTAGTTGATAAAATATTTTTGTAAGCAGAGATTTTTTTTTTTTTGCACCATTTCTCAGAAGTATTGAACACCTACTTCTAATTTCAAGCTTGTCCACTTACAGCTTCTCATTTATCTTTTGTATCTATGGCTTTATTTTTGCTTACAATCTCCCAGCCTGGATAAAAACTCTTTCAACACACACAAACACACACACACACACAAACACACACACACACACACACAAAGTGACTTCTTCTCATTTTGATACCAAATAACCAAAAATTTCTTACTCCGATTTGCAAAACCTAAATGTGCTAATTTCTTAGGCTAGTTGTCACAAATTAGCTCTTAATGTACAAGCTCGTTCTTGGTTAAATTTCTCATTCTAATACAATTTGTGTTGGAGATGCCACGGGAATAATAAATCTACCAAAGAAACCACTGTTAGTTGAACAAGAGGTTGGAAAAGAGCAACTGGCATGATGGTCCCAGAGAAAGTCTCCTTGCTATAGCTAAGTGATACCGCAGTTCATTGAGTCTTCCTCTTCTTAACAGCAGTGACTCATTCTGATAACTCAGATAAGATACCTGGCCTTGAGGAGAAGGCATGACCTCATCCCCTTTCCACAGTGTTGGCTAGTTCTGTGCACTCACTGACATTCTGCTAACTTCAGGTCCTACCATGGCCCCTTCCTTGTGGCTGCAGGGCTGAGGAGGAGGGGAAGTACTCAGAATCCAAAGAATTTAAAAAATTTTTTGCTGCTACTCCAAATTCCTGAAATATAACATCTCCCTCTCTCTATATGTATATACTGATTTTGTTGGTTTTTTTTTTTTTTTTTAAAGGAAGAGATAAAAAGTACCCTGTGTTACACATTTTAAAATCAGACTGAATGGAAAATCTTCAGTGCAAAACTGCTTTTTGTAGCCTGAGCACCTTTGAGAAGAAGGGCTATGGTTTGAAACATTTTCAGTTTCAGAGTAGGCTTACGTATCATATCCTGCCTATTGAGAACTCTTTAACCACAGCTTTCTTTAATAATATATTCTGCATTTTACTAGTAAGTAAAAAATAAACAAAGAAAGCATGATTTTATTTCACTGTTCCTTAACAGAGATGGTCACATGAAATCTTTGTTTTCAGCTTTTACAGCTCTGTAATGCTGTCTAAGTGCTCATCTGTCAGTGCATGCCTGAAGGCCTTGTCCAGTCCACTCTTACACGACTCCAAAGCAAACGATGTTTCCTGAAATACGGCTGTGCTGTAGTGTGACAGTGGTATCAGTCCAAATGCAGCACCGTGGTGTGCATCTCCTGAGAATTCAGTTGGACATTTTGAAAGGAAATACAGAATCACTGCAATCAGTCTTTCTCTCTCTCTTTTTTAAATTTTTCCATTAAAAGAAAGCTAATATTAAACCCTGTCCCTGAAGTAGCCAAATGACATTAAAGTCAGCCTGTGTTTTGTCAGCGATGGTGCTGGTGCTAATGGTGTTTTGCACTGCAGGCTGCAGTTGTTATAGCAACGGTATTAATGACCCTGTAAGTGCTTCTGGGATGGTTTATATACTGCAAGATGATGAGCTAGAAAAGCGAGTACGTTATTTTAAGCAGGAAAAAACAGACCCGGAATATGATGTTGATGACATGACTTCAGCCTAAAAAGCTCTGAAGAAATTCAGGATGCGAACTGATGTCTTAATTAGCAACCATTTTTCTGACCTCTGAAACATAATTGCAAAGCTTTCACAGATAATTGAATAGAATATGTATTTTCAGAAGTACCTTTACTTGACACAAACAGCAAAATTGAGTAGATCACAAAGTGCAAGATGGGAAGCACTGATCTCTTTGGGCCTGTTCCTCAGCTGAAATGTCTCTGCACAGACTGCTGTCAGGGTTTGGTAGGGATCCAGCTCAGCTTGTGATTCAGTCATGCTTGAGTTAAGTAGAACTTAGAACTGCTCTCTGTGAGAGAAATACTGACTGGATATGTAATTTTTTTTTTTTTTTTTGTAAAGGTGAGCTCTGAATAATTCAGATTTTCATGTTAGCTGAAAACAAGTGAAGTCCTGACTGAGCTCAGCTCAGCGCTGGGAACTAGAACACAACCAGCTTCTTTCTAACTAGAACACAAAGTCACTTCTTTCTGAGCGACTCCAACACATCTTTTGTCAAACATATTTTATTGCCAGCCCAGTACGTGCAAACCTTGCCACCTTCACATCCATACTTGTGTTCCAGCATTGCCCAAACTTCTCCAAAACCAAGTTCTGCCATCGTTCTTACTCAGTCCCCTTCCACCAGCTGTATGCCTTCTGTGGGGTTACGTTTATTTTCTGCTGAAGGGAAGTGATACCCATCTCCATGCTAAGAAAAAAAAAGCAACAGTGTCCTTATTGTCCTGTAAAGAGTAAGCACAGCACAAATCTTCACTGAAGAACATGGGTTGTGAAAATGTACTTCCATGTTTCTCCTTATTGCTATGGTATTTAAAGAATGGAAAATGAAAATTACATCTTTTGGATGAATTAATACTTGAAAAATAATTCTGCGACTCCTCTGAAACACCTCAACTTCTATCACTCATCAATATTTATTGACTACCTGTTATTGGAAACTGTTATTGAAACTACAATTTAATAATGTTCTGATCTGATATATTGTTATTTTGAACCAATACCAGAGGGAAAGATCTTCATTGTACACCTCAAGTAGAGGAGCTTGCAGTCTGCTACTTCTGTGAATGTCTTCATTGGTGTGCCTAAAAGATTCGTCACGATGTCAGAATTTGGCATGTGAGATACTTCCGAGTCACTGGAAGAGAGCCATTACATCTATGCATAGTTCACGTTACAAAACCTTTTGCTGCTGCTGTTTAAAAGGAAGGAAACACAATTGCATTGCTGTAGATATGCATCACAAACACAAACACAATGCTTTGCACGTGTGAGACAGGAGTGTCCAAAGAATTTCGTAAGGCATCTGAGACGAAAAATCAAACTCGGTGCCGGCTTGAGAACCTCTGTTATTTCAGCACAACTTCTGTAATGAAAAATGTTCTCATCTGCACTGTGCTAAATTTATTATTTCGTCTTTTGAAAGGTCAAAATAAGAAAGTGAGTCTGCAAAGTTCTCAGCAGCATTCATTTCCTGCCTGCCCCGTGGCTCTACGGCCTGCATCTCTGATTAGTTCTATTTACATAGTGCATACATCACTGTCACAATTAATCTGCAGGAAGCTGGTTTCCCAGCCGAACCGCTCTGTGTTTACAACTGGCTTTCCACAAGTGTATTGCAGTGACATCAGCTCTCATCAGACAATTTTAATGCTCAGCTTCCGGAAGCGCTCACCTTGGATGCTCTTACACATTTTAAAGTGTTTTTTTCCTGGTGTGTATCCACAGGAAATGTCGAAGGCGGGAATGTACTCTTAATCCTGCCCGAAGTATCTGACCGGAATTAGGTATTACTTACAGAAATCCAGATGGATTCTTGATGTGACAACCTTCTTGTTTTTTATTGGCCCATGACATGTACTGGGCTGAGCATTTTCTGCTCCTTCTGTGCAAGACGTGGGAAAACAGAATGGAGAAACTATGGCTTAGTAACCTTCTGCCAGAAAGCAGCAAGCTCTGGTCCACAGACCATAAGTCATGAGATGAAATTCCCTACAGCAGACAAGGGAACAAAATCCTTTTTCTCACACTTGAGCCCGCTGTCAGTAAATTACTGTGTGGCTTAAGCACAGCCATCAGGTGTTAGAGGTTAGCATGGAGTCATAGAACGGTTGGAGTTGGAAGGAACCCTTAAAGGCCATCTGGTCCAACTCCTCTGCACTGAGCAGGGACATTCACAGCTCAGAGCCCATCCAGCCTGACCTCAGCTGTCTGCAGGGATGGGGCACCCACAGCTCTCTGAGCAACCTGTGCCAGTGATGTATTAGAAAAAACCTTCTTCCTTATAACCAATCTAAATCTCACTGCTTTCCCACTCAGATGATTTGGGGATATCTCCAAGATACCTACAGCATAGGTGGAATTACTAGGCCAGGAATTGTCCGTAACACAGAACTAACAAGGCTGTGAGGAGCATTTCATATTTAAACAACAAAGAGAGCTGCCGCAGGGCTGGGAGAACAGTCAAAACGGGTTCTGAAAGTCATACCTTAGGTATTCAGAATGGAATGAGAAGGATGTCTAATTGCAAAGCCTCCCTTGATGGTTGCAGAGCTACATTGTGTGCTCCCTTTCTCAATATCAGTCCACAGTGATACAGGCACGCAGACTTTTGTTAATTTAAAGCACAGCTAAGATTTTTGCAATACAAATTGTTTCTTCTTCCTAAAAGTGCACTGTTCTGATGTCCGATTTAGCTGATGGTGCTAGGGTTTAAAAAGTAGTATAGTTAATTGCTCATGGTATGTTGTAGATATGAGCAACCACTCTTCACCTTGTACTATAGCAGCTGTATGTGCTTCATGCATTCCCCATTTCTACTCTTGCTGTTGTGTCTATGGCAAATTTCCTTGCCACCTGGGCACTGCCTAGCTTTTAGCCCATGTCAGGGTGTGCTTCATTATTATCATAGCTTTCCTGAACATTGATCATGCCATCCTGTTATTTCAAAATTAATTTCTAAGCCTGATCCCCATCTGGTCCTGCCTGATGGTCCTGTATTTCTGTCGTCTGAGTTTCCCTGCCACATCTAGAAAAACTGTAATTGCAAAAGTAAGTTTTGCAAAGATTGCAGAGAATGCTTCCTCAAAATGGAGGAAATGTGATACTTTCAGTATGCACACCAGGAAGCAAGCTATTCCAGCCTCTCAGTTGAGGAAAAACAGGTGATCATTTCTCAGCTTACCCTGTCAATTTGATAAACGTATTTAATAATTCTGCCATTTCTGGAGCCACCAAATCTAATAGAAATAATGTATCTGTTGCAAATTGGCCCAA